TTCGCGAATTTACTCTGAAAAAAAACAAGTTAGACATTAATAAATTCCAAACTTTTCTTAAGTGAAATGCTAATTTTAGATGATATAAATTGAAATTGTTGCAAGTTGCGGCTGCGTCTTCTTTAGATAGCAAGAAGTAAATTTTACAAATTATTAAGATATGCTTCTGAGCGACTAAGAAGAGGAAAAGGAAAATCATTCTAAAGACAAAAAGATTTAATTAAATTAAGATTAAAGATCAAAAAATTTAATTACCATAAAGGGAATTTTCAAACTACATGTTGAAAAGAAGATGACTCACTATTCTATGAAAAAACATTCCCTATTGAAAACCTCTGAATGCATGGTTGTATCATCATCATATCATGGATGCCACCATATGGTGCCGTGTTATTTCTCTTATGGATGGCCCTCAATTAACAAAGAATTTGTATGAATTGCTATTACTCTTCAATACTTCATTTAACTTAATATTCGTTTTGGAACGTCAACCAAAACTATATTGGTTAAACTAATTCTTATGTCATCGAGAAAAAAAGGGAAAAAATTTAGACGAAGATAGAGATGTCAACTGATCGAACGGATAAGGGAAGCTCCTTTCTTTTCTTCATTTTTCTAGTTGATAACAGATAGCGGATTACCAACTGGTAATAGAAAGAAATGATGGGAAAGTTATTGATAGCTATGATTGTGTTAATCAATATGATATCGTAGTGTTGAATGAATTAAATAGGTTAAAAAATAACCATAAAAAGGAACCGGTAGAAGGGACATGTAAAATCGTATTATGTACGAAATGCTTACTACCGTGGAACTATTTCCACAATTACTGTTGAGATTATGGGCGATAATGCCAGTATTCATCGGCGTTTTATGCAAAATTTCAAGATTTATTTGACTGTTATTGTCGGTATCTTCGGAATCAATTGCCGGTAAACCTAAAACAGAGATGACTGAATAGAGTTTAATGAGAAATGTTTACCGGATAAAACTGTCGACTTCTATGTGAATTTCAGTTATTGAAAATACAAAAAAGTTTGAAAAGTTACAAAGACGTAAACAACTGTGAAGTTCTAAACAATTTATAAGAAACTTGCTTTTGCCCAGCTCCTACAGAATAAACGGTAAAATTGAAGGAAAATGGTATACACCTGGAATATCAAATGCTAAATGTCCAGCTGTGATTGTTGGTGCTACTTTTGTTCCCGTTGGTGACAATGATAGTGAAGAAGGTGGAGAACTACCGTTCCAAATTTCTCTTGATTGCGGCAGTGGTGAAGTGGAAGATGACGGTAATAAAGGTTTTAACGATGAAAATGGTGGAAATGGTGGTCGTATTATCGGGTGTGGTACCGTTGATACAGGTTTAGATCCAGGTCGATTTAAAATTGTTGAATTTGATGGTAAGTAAGTAGAAGTGACTTGGTTGGAAGAGAGAAGTTTAGAGTCGGAATTTTGATTACGATTAACTAAAGATGAATTTAAAGGCTCGCCGTAATCAGTTACATTCGGAGCTTGCTCAGTAGCAACACCGGATAAAATAGACCGATCGAAATTTGATGACACTGGTCGGATATTAGTTCGTGAGCCAAACCAAGTATTAGGTATAACAGTTGAGGCACGTGGTGATGATGAACTACTCCACTGGCTGCTGCAGAATTCGTCGTTCTCTTCCTGTAAATATCAAATTATATGCAATAAGAAGACAGGGAAATAAAGGTCACAGGTCACCAAGGTCGCACAGAGGTGATCAGTGAAGCAGTGTCCACCCTTTTACCCGTCCCTACCTTTCTCCTGAAAATGATTCAACCTTCAATCGTCCCAGTGTTGCCTCTCACGACATACATGCAATAATTGCAAAGCTAAAAAGGTAAACAACAAATGATAGTTAAATTGTTTTTCGTTTATTATTCAACTAGAATAAATATGAGTAATGATGTTTCAGATGAAGTATACATGGAGTTATCATGATGGTCATGACTCATCAAGGATTCATAACTCATCAAGCATTCCAACATAATTAGATCTGTAAAGAATGTTTAAAAAAGTTATCAGTTTTAAAAAAGAATTTTGGAAATTTTTGAAGATTATTAAAGGCTACTCGACAAAGCTTTTGCGCTATTAGAACTAAGGAAATTGAAGTTTTAATCAAAAGTTCGAAGGATACAACAATCACCACAACAACTTTTGCTTTCTTCTGTTTGTCTTCTAAATTGTATTAAAGCCATTGCTGAGTCATCAGTGCCGCCTGTTTACCTGAAATTCCCAAAACGAGACATCGAAATGATAAGGAAGAGTGGAGAAAGGGGTTAGAGAAGAGAAGAATTACTGAGATTCAAGGACATTATCGATGGTTATAATGTCGAGTTCGAATTAAAAATGAATAGCTTTCTTGCGGACAGTTTAATTTTGTTTGGTGTTACAAAAAAAGTTGCGCCACCCTATCCCTCTTCCCTCTATTCAATAATTTTTGCCGGTTTAGGGAAATTTGAAAATCTGAGTCCTTTTTCAAGAAATCTTAGTTAATAGTTTATGGCGATTCCACATCAACCAATTTAAACAGTTTTTTTGGAGCCCTAATTCCAAAATAATCGACTTTAAAAGTAAAGTCATTCCCCAAAAAAACATTCTTGTTTGTAAGTTACAACTTGGTGTTCCAAAAAAAGTCGTTTTTAATTCTTTTAAAGGAAAAAAATTTAATTTTTTTAATTCTTTCATTCTTTTTCAATCCTTTCAAAAAAAAATTCTTTTTAAATTTTATTCTGAAGTATTGTTGAATGTCGAAAAGCTATAGTAGTAAGTGAAATCTTCAATATTCCGAATAAATTCAGCATGTTGATTGAAGTATATTGGCAAAAAAATTCTACATACAGCGTAAAATGAGGCCTGCCTCAAGATTTCCAGCGTTTGCTGATAAATAACTTAAGCTTATTATTAATTAGCTATGTTACAATACAGTTCTATCAGCTGATATCCAACAGTTATGAAATGGGACATTATCCACTTTCCTTAGAAATTATTGTTTATGAAAAGCACAAAGTTTCATTACGATTTCGCTCAATGTAAACAAATGAAGTTGCTCCCATCGCAATGTCAATAATAGCAGTGACAATCAATGAATACTAAGAATTTGGTAAGACAGGAAGAAAGGAAAAGAGTAGAAAATTTTGCCATTTGTTTTAGAAAATAAACAATTGACTTGGAAAAAAGTTTCTTTACTTGATGGAAGATAGGTGACAGTACAAAACAAAAAAAAGTTTCTAGATCTGGTAATCTATAAATTAACTGAAAACTGACTATTGAGACTAGAAGGATAACCAATCCTTCCAATGAGAAACAAGAACAAAAACATTTGGGAGATTTATTCCTAGGTAGTTGAATAGAGATCCGAGTGTTAACTTTATATTCCTAGTCAGATATCACTATTCTTCGTCGTTACTTGTCAACAATACTAGCCATTGAACCATTGAATGTTGACCATCGAACGTGCATCGGTGTTTGCAGATGTTTGATGTCTTTTCTGTTAGTCAAAATGTCATCGCACACCTGCATCCTTCTGTTATGTTTGTCACCGGTAAAACTTCACAATGTTTGAATACTTCAGCTGCCAAATATATTAAACGAAATATTTGTAATATAATGCTTGAATTTACAGTCAAATACCAAGCGGAGCAAAGCTTATATTCGATATATGTTTGGGGTAGAGCGAAATTTGACTGGAACTTGCTAGAAGTAATACAGAAATTAGTTTGACATCAGAAATTAATCCCGTACATATTTAGTGATAACTGTCCAAATACTTCAACTATTGCCTTCCATGCACTCATTGTAGACGCAAAGTAAGCAATAACAAAAACGAAGTTTTGAAGCAAAAATGACAGTTCAATCTAAAGCAATCAGTTTATTAGCGATTCTAAGGAAAGTACATGAATTATTGATAAGGTACCGCTAAAGCAGAGCAGAACAGGTATGTTGTCGAAATTTATGGTGATCTTTTGACAGTATGTCACAACCATTTTTGCTTTCAATCACAGTTTGGGTAATCCGTGATAAAAATAATTAAAAGATTATACATTAATTCTCACCATTACTGTTTTGTCTTGGTCAAAATCACATAAGTTATAATCATCTGATGTTAATCAGTATCTGATGTTACTAGACTTAATCCAAGGGTTTTACTTTCATAATAAAAATGCAATTGTAATATAATGTGATCATCAAACAACAATATCAGCAAGCAAGCAATGAAAATCTGAGCTATATTGAATCATATTTCTCTTCCCAAAACACATTTTGATAGAGCAGAAGGAGTGTGCTCTAATGTCTCTAAATGATTTAAATGCAAAGAATATTCATTTTCAATAGAATATATTATTTTATATGACTTACCTTTAAACACCTGTATCAAAGACAACATTTCCAAAATTCAACTTCTTGAAAGATTGAATTTTATTGAGTTAATAAAATTAACTCCCAAGATTAAACTAACTTCTAATTCCGGTATGGCGAGAAGGTAGCGTTCCGTGTTATACGTGTTATTACCATAACGCAAGAAATATTCACTATCTTGCGGACTGGAGCACTGAGAAATAAACTGTGATTCCGTTAAGAGATGTTGATGGTGTTCAGCAAGTCGATCGTCCGAAATGCTGTCCGTCGACAGCAGCGCCTTTAGCGCTTCTATTGATGATGCTGACTCCATAGCAGTAGCAGCAATAGATGTGGTAGCGCAATTTGTACCAATGCTTATGCTGTCAATATCTTTTATCGATAAACTTTCATCCTTCTGATTCAAGCTTATCGGCACCTCATCGCTTTCATTTTCTCTCTTGAAAATAAGCAAGCGCCATGCTAGTAGCAACGCCTGAAAGTTGCACAGTATAATGAATTCTTAAATTTCACATGTACTTTATAAGATGCCGCACAGGCGCTATTAGGTTGTAAATCTTTTTAGAGTTCTTTTTTTTTTTT